CTAGTAAAGCTTTTTTTATTATCCGCTTAAGAGTTTTTACCGCGTTCTCGGCCAAACCGTTCGACGAAGGGTGATACGGAGGAGTAAACGTATGTTCTATACCGTAATATCTAGTAAAAAATTCGAACTCCTTTGATGCGAACTGTGTACCATTGTCCGTAACGATTTGCCTCGGCATGCCGAACCTGCTGAATAATTCGTTCAACCGATCAATTAATAAGTTCGCCGAAGTACCCGTCATGTGAAATACTTCAATCCACTTCGACGTGGCATCTACTACAACTAAGAATGTTTTCCCTGCGATAGGACCCAAAAAATCTAAGTGGAGACGGGTCCAGGGGCGTGCAGGCCAGGGCCACATGCGCGGTGTCTGCCGCGGCGGCGCGTCCGCCTGCGCCGCGCACACCTCGCACTCCCTGCATGCACGCTCCACCGCCTCGTCTATGCCTGCCCACCACACATAGCTCCGAGCGAGCGCTTTCGATTTAACTATACCCATGTGTGGTTCATGTATAATTGTTAAAATTTTCTTCCTACATTGTTCCGGCACTACTAGCCGGCGGCCCCACATTATACAACCTAACTCTTCATACAACTCCCTCCGCCTATTCCAGTATGGTTGTATATTAACTATATCGCAATTTGATGGCCAACCGTCGCGAATGTATAGCAATACCCGAGATAGTATTGGATCCCGTGCCGTTTCTCGCTTAATTACATTATAATCTAGACAAAATGTATCTTGAACGCAATGCAAGTATGTCTGTTCCGGAGGCGTCGGTTCGCTTTGTTTATTTCCGCTAATCGGCAACCGCGACAGACCATCCGCGCCGTTTTCGTCTGTACGAACATACTGGATGTCGAATGAGTAAGCCGACAGAATGATAGCCCAGCGTTGCATACGGCTTGCTACCATGGTCGGGATGCCCGTATTCGGCCCAAAGATCGATACTAGAGGCTTATGATCCGTGCGCAGAGTAAAATGCCGTCCATATAAGTATTGATGAAATTTGTTAATACAAAAAATTATCGCTAACGCCTCACGATGTATTTGCGAGTAATTCTTTTCGGCGTCGGTCAGCGTGCGCGACGCATATGCAACCGGCCGCTCGCCACCGCCGCCGGCGTCGATCTGCGTCAGCACCCCGCCGACGCCCCGCCCGCTCGCGTCGCACGTCACTATAACCGGTTTCTTACAGTCATAGTGCGCTAGGGTGTCCACGCTACCTAAATTTTTTTTAATACCTAAAAATGCTTTTTCACATTCCCGAGACCAATGCCATTCCTTATCCTTTTTTAATAGCTCATACAGTGGAAATAGCCTGCCACTCATGTTTTTTATAAATTTACCGTAGAAATTAACTATACCTAAAAAGGACCTTAATTCCGTAACATTAGTTGGCCTTGCGATTTTAACAATAGCTTCGACCTTAGCTGGGTCTGTTTTTATGCCCTCCCTACTAATGACGTAACCTAAATAACGAACTTCATTAACCAGGAATACACACTTGCTGGCTTTTAACTTAAGTCCAGAAGCGTGTAGCCTGCTGAAGACTTCCTTTAAGGCATCTAAGTGTTCCTTAATGGTCTTACCTCCGATGATCACATCATCCAAAAATATCTCCACGTTTGCGACACCCCGTAAAAGGTTGCACATAATCCGTTGGAATATACCGGGGCTCGAAGCCAATCCGTAAACGAGTCTATTATACCTATAAAGCCCCCTATGCGTATTGATAATGGTGTATTTTTTTGATTCGTCCAATTCGATTTGATTATAGGCCTGCGAAAGATCAATTTTTGAAAAGAAACTCGCGCCGCTTAAGTTAACCATCAAATCCTCAATACGAGGCAGAGGATATCTATCAATATGTAAAACGGGATTTAACGTCGCCTTATAGTCAGCACAAACCCTCAAGGAACCGTCTGCCTTGTTGACCGGCACAAGCGGTGATGCCCAGTCGGAGCAGTCGACGGGCTCGATGACGCCGTCGCGCAGCATGCGGTCCAGCTCGGCGTCGACGCGCTCCCGCAGCGCGTACGGCAGTGGCCGCGCTCGGTGGAACACCGGCGTCGCCCCCTCCCGCACGCGCAGCGTCGCCTTGCCGCCCGTATAGCGACCGAGGCCACCACTGAATAACTCCTTATACCTAGATAATAAATAATCTATCTGAGAGCTACATTTAGAATTATTTTCTTTTAAACTGTGGCAATTGCTAAACATTGGGACAGTTATTTTCAAATCGCTAAGCCATTGCCGCCCGAGCAGCGATGTGTTACCACCCGAAATAACAAATAATTCCAGCCGCTTTTTGTGGTCACCGTAGCGTACTACTGGTTTAATAAAACCCAACGGCTTAACCTTGGTACCATCATAAAAGTTAAAAATTAAATGACAATTTTCTATAACATGATGCTTAAAGTACCTTTTATACGTTTCATAACTAATACACGATACGGCCGAGCCTGTATCTACCTCCATATTGATTGCTATCGAATCGATTACAATAGGAACACTAACCGGCTTGTACTGGTTTAAGCGGAGGTGGTGAACTGCAGCTACCTTACTGCCATCCCCCGCTCCGTCGAAGCTGAGTTCGACGTGGTCAGCGCCGTGACGCTCACCGCGCCCCTGGTCGCTGCGCTTGGGGCACGCGCGCCGCAGATGCCCTGTCTGCTTACACAGGCTGCACGCATAATTACGTAACCGACATACCGCCTCTCGAGGTCTCGTCGCTACGCCGTCCATACCCGATACCA